AAGAGTGATCAGGTAAGGCCTGTCTTGAGCACCAAACTGAGGGTGGGTCGCTTGAACAGCCACATAAATGAAGTAAGGAAGTGAGCCTCTTGAGTTTTGAGGGGATATCATTTCTAGGTAGGGGAATAGGACCTGAAGCAAGAGCATTCTGGAATGTTCCAGGAACCATGAGGGGGAACAATGAGGCTGGAATGCAATGAGTGAGGGAGAAAGAAGGGGAGTGGGTAGGTAGAGCCTGAGAGGCCATCTATGTATGATAGGAAGCCATTGAGGGCCACCATTTTGTCTCACAAGGCTAGCACAATGGCTAACATGTAGAAGGTTCTTAGCTGTTGAAGAATAAGTGTTATACAATCTGGGGAAATAATTGAGTAGGTTTCTTTGCACCAAACCTTCTCATTAACTTTAATATTTCTTCTTTCAAGGGGGATAGAGCACAAAACATCCCCCTGAATTATTTAACGATGGAACATTATTTAATGGATCATGTTAAGAGATTCTGGTTCCATAATTTGGTAAATGCTGCTGTAGACGGGCCTTAGTTTTCCAGTGTGGGTTCAGAAGGGCAAGCTGGATAGCATAATATCCTGGAACTCAAGTTCAAATCCAATTCAAACATTATGATGACACAAGGGCAGGAGGCAGGATACAATGGACCCTACTTAGCTACAAGATTTCCCTTCCACTCCTTTGTCACCTTTATGTCTTGTTTTCCTGATCAAGGTATAAAAAAAAAATCAATTTATCCTATGGCTCAGCCAAAGGAAGCTGGACTTTTTCAAATAGATATTTTACTGATAACAAAAAGAGACATAATTATGGAGACAGAGACTTTCCCATCTTGAAGGTCTCAGAACCACATCTTAAAGCTATGGGCAATGACTACCTGTACGGAGTCCATATTCCCTGTTGGCCACACTGGCTCCCTTTTGAGATGGTTCTCGTTGCGGCATGGGTTGGAGGAGCTCTCTTGCACACTCTCCTGATTGCTCTCAAGAAATGCTAAGTCCCTGGTCTGGTAGAGCTGCAGACCTGTATTTTGGGTCTAATTGTGTTTCTTGAGTGGGCTATGTTCACGACAATAATCTACCTAACCCTGTTTTACTTCCTAAATGACACATTTACTTCCTGGATGCTCTGCTCTATTCAAACTGTCTGTTTTTACCCCCACTGCATGGAAGTAGAGATCTGAATCTTCTCATGGGTGATTTAGTGCATACACAAGGAATAGTTGACTTAGTAAGTGATTCAAGATCCAAGAACTCTCACCGATCATTTTATCACTGAGTTCTAGGGCTCCTTCTTAGGCCCAAGCCAGGTTCTGTGACATCTGTTTTTCTCACAAGTCCGGGGACTAAGCCTGTTTCTCTTTCATTTGTAATGTAGTAAACCAGAGTTCTCTCTCCCAGCCTTGGCTGCAGAATCAGATGCTACCTCCTCAGATACTTATTCAAAGTTAAAATCTTTTTCTTTTTTAATTTAAGAGTTTTATTGATAATCACAATGGGAAAATAAACAAGGAATTATCACATGACAAGACATCATGTGAGCAACACAGCTGTTGACAATTTTTTTTCTATTTCTGTTAAGTTTCTAATCTTCTGAAATGTAATACACACAGACACACTCAATACTAAGACACACTGAAATGAATGCCTTTAAACCATGAGCACATGTTTTTAATCCTAATTTTAATATCCTATCACAGTTTGGCTTTGGTAACCAAATTTACAAGATAGCCAGATATTGGTCTCTTTTGTCATCTTCAACCTTACCTGGAATAAATATGGGAGAATAAATGTTTCAAGTTTCAAAAGTTCAAATTTTCTACTGAGACAAATTTTAATTTGTACCAAAGAGGATCCTCGTAAGATACTCTGGAGTGACTATTACTCTGCCCATTTTACTTTTGTGGAATTTAAGCACAGACATATTAAATAGCTTGGCCAATGTAGGTTGCATCTAGTAAGCTGCAGAGTGAGAATTGTAATCCCAATATACCTTCATCTAAAGCCAGTGGGCTATAGCACTGTCTTCCATGATCCCAACACTCTATGCAGCCATCACTGTCCAGACACCCTAGCCTCCACCCCTCTGGTGCCCTTGATAAAGGAAATATTATTCTCTTCACCTAAAAGAAATGCTTTCCAGAGATTCAGGCAATCCTTCTCAATTTTGGAAAATACATCCTTTGTCCCTCTTAGACATCTCTATGACTATGGCCCTGGAAGTCCTTCCTTCCCCCAGATGGACTTCATTCTGAGGGAGTGAATTGGATTGACCAGTAAAGTGACCATCTTCATTGGTAAGATCTATACCTTCAGATGGAGCTCATTTTGATAGGCCCTTGAAACACTGTAGTGAATTAAGATTGACCTAAGTTTTACTCTCAAGGAGGTAACAGGGTACAAACAATAGACCCCTCAGGGATCTGGGAAGGAAGAGAGTGCATGGAGATGAGGCTCGGGGAGTAGACACTTCCAGGTTTTATGCTAGTTAAGGAGCTTGGTCCTTATCCTGTAGGTTGGCGATGGGAAGTCATGGAAAGATTTTGTGTAAGGGAATAAAACAGGCAGAACGGAGGATGTATTTAGGTGGGATAAACCAAAGGGGCAGAAATATAACATTATAACAAACTAGGATATGATTCTTGAATTAATGTCCTTGGATCAGCAGCCTCAGCATCACCTGAGAGTTTGTTAGAAATCCAAATTTGTGGACCCCATCCCAGAACTAATTTTTTCCAGCTTGAGGTATGATTGACAAACAAAAATTGTATATATTTAAGGTGCATAAGATGATATTCTGATACACATACATGCTATAAAATGATTATGATAATCAAGCTGATCAACATAGTGATCACCTCACATAGTTTGCATTTTTGTGTGTGTGGTGAGGACACTTAATATCTATTTTCTTATCAAATTTCAAGTATACAGTACATTATTAACTCTACTCACCATGCTGAACATTAGCTCCCCAGAACTTAGCCATGTTCTAACTGAAGGTTTGAACACTTTAACCAATGTCTCTCCATTTCCCCAAGCCCCAACTATTGGCAACCACCATTCTTTTTCTATGAGTTCAGCTTTTTTAGATTCAACATAAAATGGAGATCATGCAGTATGTGTCTTTCTGTATCAGGTTTATTTCAGTTAGTAAAACATCCTCCAGTTCCATCCATGTTGTCACAAATAGCAATATTTTCTTTTTCTTAAGGGTGAATAATAGTCTACTGTGTATATAAACCACATTTTTCTTTATCCATGTATCCATCAATGAGCACTTAGGTTGTTTCCATATCATGGCTAGTATGAATAATGCTGCTATGAACATGAAAGTACAAATATCTCTTAAGTTCCCCATGTTGCAGCAAAGTGTGTTAAAGCTCAGTATTACAGTTCAGTGTTACAGCTCAGTTGTGACATCAACCTGGATCTGGGCGAGAGACCAGGTAGTACTTAGAGAGTCGGAGAACTCAGGTTTATTAAGCCAGTGGGCCCAGAGGAGTTAACACTCCAAGCTCTTGACCCTGTTTGTAGGTTTACACAGGCTTTTATAGACTGCCAGTCTAGACTTTGCAACATCACATGCAAATCAGGTGTAACAAAAGTTGACTAATTAGGAATGAGCTTGTAGAAATGGACCAATCAGGAGTTAGCTCAGGGAACCAATAGAATCTTAGGGGTAAGTTCTGCTTTCCTAGAAGCAAGCCCTTTCAGAGTTAAAAAGTGAGATAATGCTGCTAGCCCAGGGAAACAAATGGTGTTGGCAGGAGAGTAGTGCCCCTGCCTGGGGGTCCTGCAGTCTTTTTTATGGGGCTTCCCACCTCACCCAGAACTATTGAATCAGAAGCTCTGGAAATGAAGCCCAGCATTCTGAGTTGTAACATGCACTCCAGATAATTCTGATGCATGTTTAAGTTAGAAAAGTACTGGCCTAGGAAAATATTGATGAAGGCCTGAATTACTGTGAGTGGTAAAGATGAAGAAGATGGCTTGTAGTAGAAAATCACTCAGAAGGTAAAATCAAAGATATATATTTGATTAATTGCACAGGGAGGGTGAGTGATTCCCTCTGGATCCCTGTCAATAGTAGGGGAACAGTTTCCTAGAATCCTGGCCCATTAACATCCCTAGAATATCTAAAATATATCAAAATAAAGGGGGAAAAAGCATTTGAAGAGTTAGGAGTGGTTAATTCCTTCCAAGTTCCCTGTGATTCATTCTTACTTTAATGTCTAGACAGATATCAGGCTAATTCATTTTCCTATTTCTTGAAGGTCCAACATGGGGGTTGAAATAATGAAGAACTTCAACCCCATCGAGGTCTTACCATGTAACAGTAAGTCTACCATGTTCACAGTTGATCCATTTAAAGGACATTCTTACTTTAAGAGATATTTCTTTAACATTAACCATTTCAGTTTTCATCTCCTGCGACAAATAGTATTAATCATCTTGGGTTTTGCAGACGCGGTTTTATTCTTGGAAATTATTTTCATATCAATTTAAACCAATTTTCATCTTGAGTCAGATATGAAAGGCTAGGTAACCCTTCATTTCAGCTGCCTGTTCTCAAAATGTACAGGTTATTTGGACTTCAACTTGAGATTTATTCCTGAAAGGCCAATAATTAGGTACTGGTGACAATGTCTCAGTTAAAGTACAGAGCTAGGAAATTTCTTTGGCGGTTTCTAATCGTTTTCAGCCAAATCATCTCAGTTAAACTTCTATGCACTAGCAATTTCTGTGGATTTTTTTTT